CATTTCTTGTTTTCCTGAGAGCTATAATCTCCAACTATTCAAATGTAATGTCAATCGACGTCTCCAGATGCCCTGATCTATCCCCTATCCTTCTCTTCATCCTTTTCTTTATCATTCCTATTTGCTCTCGCTCCAACTCTCTGTAACCCCTTGCGTGCTAGTGGCTTCCCGCTTGCTTGGGGTTGAATGCTTAAAAAAAAATTCTCTTAATACTCTGCTTAGCTTTTGGAATGCATCTTTGGCTATCCCAATATATGTTCGGATTTCATTATCGCATTTTCCGAACACTTCCTAGATATTTATTTTTCCGTGCTTTGTGGATTTTGGTATCACTGATTTGTAATTTGCATTTTGTGCTCATTCTTTTGCTAATAACTATGCATTCTGTCTTCTTGCAGTTTATCTTTCCAGATACAAGATAAACTCATAAATAAAAGATCAAAATTAATTACTATATGCAAACATGAAAACAAATTCCTTCTACGCTACCTATAACCATAGGATGACCAAAAAGCTAAATTAAAATCTCATAGATGTAAAGAAAATACGCGAAAGAAAAATATATACAAAACTAATTAAAATATTTTTAAAAAATCGGCACAAAAGAAGACGCTATGTTCAAATGGAAGTAAATTTGAACAGTATGGATGCAAGGAAAAGACGTGGATACTTTGTAAACTTCGAGAAGTTATTAATCCAAAGGACAGCATTCCCACACACAAGGTGACAGCTTTTGCTTTTGCGCCAATGTTAAATGAATCTCTTCATAGGATTTGCAAGAATAATGAAATAAGTGTTGGAATAATTTGAAAAATTTGGCTCGAAATTTAGTCTTTCTAGATGGCAAGGAACCAAAGTCCTCTGAAATTAGTGTCAATCTTGCAGCATTGTGATAAAACATAGTTCCAGGACAGCTACCACAGAATCTTGAAAGTATATTGAAGGAGTGTAGTCGAATAAAGATCTATGTTTAGGTATTTTGACCCCTATGAGCGCACAAAATGGAATCACGAACCGAGTTCATATTCCAAGCGGGACAATTGGGTTCTTTTTCACAATAATAACCTTGGAGAAGGCATGAATACATCTCTTATCTTAACCCACATCCATATGCTAAATATTCGGGTAGGCTGCGCCCTCTAATCATATGTGGCAATTAGTATAGGAAATGGATAATTCTTATTTAAAACCGTGGAGAAGTATAGGGAACACCACACCACTATTTTCTTCAATAGGCCATGGTGATTCACAGGAAATAGAGAGATATGTTGGTTCCAAACACCCCTTCATCAAATTTATAGACAAATTGTACAGATGCATTATGGGAATTCTTTTCTCATCCGCCATGTTATTGCTGTTTCTTGTCTTGTTTCTGAATTTCCTTGAAGTTAGAACGATATGACCACTTGTCTGTATTCCTTTTTGTGAGTAAGACCATTCTTTGTGAACTTTTTGACTTATTACTGTTGCTTTGTCTTCTTTTGTCATGCATATATATATATATATATATATATATATATATATATATATATTGGGATCCACAGACAAACTGTTTCGTTGTAACGCAGCTCATCAGTGTGGCTAACCATCCGATTGCCTCAAGCTAGGATCGAAATCCGACTGATTTTTCCCCAAATCTATCGGCTCTCGGCAGAGAGGAAGCTGAACATTTATGTATTTATTTTGACTAAACACGTCAGTGACTCAAAGTGCTCGATTCATAGAAGAACTTTGCATTATCAGCAGTAGCAGGTCTCACACTTATACACACACTCATACTAATATATACACATACTAATATATATGCACACATCATACACACTCCCAAAGAACTAAAAGATAACATACACTTAATACACACATCTCATTCCCAGCAATAGATAAAACTGCCAAAATGACCAAGGAGGGAGTTCTTAAAATCACGAATTTCACATCCTCTATCTTAAAACCAACTTGAAAGAGGCCACCTGACCAACGCAAGGACTGACCAAAATTAACGTTAAAAAATACATGAAAACTACAAATAAAGTTCACTTTTTTCAGAAACAATCATTCACTCCTGTAGTTCACTGCTACAAACAAGCAGGGATTTTTTTCTCCTGACGATGGTCATGCTGGCCGAAAGTAGTCGAGGAACCTAATTGAAATAATAATAAAAAAAAATTATTATTCAACCCAGTGTAATATATTTTATTGTTGAAAACATATATATATATATATATATATATATATATGCACCCTTAAATTATATTACTATTGCGAGTATTCATTTAGTTATTTGATATTACTATATTTTTGTCAAAAATGAGATTTACTGCTTTGATATTTTGTTTAACTTTGAATCCGAATTTAAATTCAAATAATTAAAAAAAAGTAATTTTTTCGCTTTTCGAATTTATGAATGTAAATGATGTAAATTATTATTAGTCAATTATTATTACTTAATTATTATTAGTTAGTTATTATTAGTTAATTCTAATATTTTAGGTAGCATTAATTAAATAAGTTTTAACACAAATTTTGAATCATCAGTACGAGAACGCGAATTAACGGTCAGATTGTATTTTCACCTAGATGTTGGATATATATATATATATATATATATATATATATATATATATATATATATATTATAATTATTTTTTAAAAATATGATTCCTTCGTTATATACATAAGAGTTCTCATGTTTCAAAAGCAAGAACCAAAAAACTTCAATATAATTATTAAAATTAAATTGAATTAAAGTATCAAGCTCTGTTTCATCTTCAAGCGAAATCTTTGTAATAACGAATCTTGAAATTTACGCATCTTTATAAGCATGTTCATTCGTAAAAAATATTTACTATGGAAAAGAAGAAAGCAATTATTTCAATTTAATTTAGGCTCTACTTTTCCATTGAGCACTGTTTTTTAAAAATAAAAACAAAAATACTAAAGAACTCCGGATTATTTACCTAACGTGTTCTTTCCTATTTTTCTATATATTTGCACACACACACACACACACACACACACACACACACACACACACACACACACACACATATATATATAAATATATATATATATATATTATATATATATATATATATTGTTTGCTTTGTATTGTTTTCGCCCTTTTCTTTTGTTATTTTCTTTTGGAAACGTTGTGACTTTTGTTTGTTGGGCATTTATGGCAATTATATTTCAACATGACCAGTTACTCTACAAGGTTTGTGGAAAGCCATGATCAGTTATGTCTTAAAAGATATGGCATTTAATAATAACTATAATGATAATAATAATATTAGCCCCTTTATTAATCATTCGTCATTCATTTACATAATGGTGGCATAATCAAGATGTTGGCGTTCAATATTGAAAGAAACGTTTAGAAAGAAATCCTCATCATTACTGGAAAGAGCGATAACATTTACTTTACCTGAGAAAGGTATTTTCCTCAAAAATTGTATTAATAGAAAGATTTTATAAAGTTCCACTGACGGTACCACTGACTGCTCGTTCAATGAATACTGAAAGTTTCCTTATAAGGAAACGGCTAATATGACCTTTGCGATTACAATTTTAAAATGTAAATAAAAGTAAAGTTATTGTTTTGTATGTGAAAAATCATTATTCCTATTTTAAATCTTATCGTAAGAATTCCATCCACGAGGTTTAAATCAATAACCTATAGCGATTTTTTTATAGGTTAAGGATGCCTCTACAGGTCAATATTCCCCAAAAGTCAACGCTTTGGCAAATCGATCATATTGAGATTCGAACCACTGATTCACGCGGCCGTATCTATACCTATTCTATTTTTATTTTTATTTATTTTTAATAAAAGAAGCTTGTCAGGATGAAAATTAATGTGTCACTTTCATTCTTTTCATTATTTAAAATGTTTCTTTGTTCCCGTTTCCTCAACCAACTTGAAGTTTATTTATTTCCCCAGTTCTATGTTTCTATTATTGTTCTAGCTTCCAGTCTTGGAGAAAATATTCAAAGGAATTCGATATCTTTTACTATTCATTTCATTGTCACAAGTGTCAGGGGGAGAGTGTGGCGGGCGGGCGGGCAAGAAGTGATGTGCATGTTTACCACTTTCTCACGTACAGCAAGCCAAGAACGACAACTCTCTCACGCACATATCTTATCGGGCATGACCAAATTGGAAATACAATAACGAAGGGAACATCCAACTGTAAACGTGGAGTTATGAACAAATATAGTTTTAACAAATAATTATTTCAGAGGCGATCCATCTTTATTGCTTTCTTTTCTCTCTCTCTCTCTCTCTCTCTCTTATTTCCTTTATTTTCGTCTTTCTCTCTTTCTTTCTAACTCACAGTCATTTCTATTCTCTTTGTATTTTTTAGTTTCCATCTTTCTTTTTCATTCTTTCTCGCTTTCTATTCTCTCACATTCTTTTCCGTACCGATCTCTCCTTCATCTCTTTCTCTTTCTCTTTCTCTTTCTCTTTCTTCTTTTCTTCTCCTCTTAATTACTATTTTACATTATTTCTACCATCTCTTTTTTGCTCTACTTAGGTTTTTTATTCTTCCTCTTTTTCTCTTACACATTTCTTTTACTATTTCCTTTCTTTCTCCCCCCCTAGTTCTACCATTCCTTTCCTATAATTTCTACCTTCATTACTCTCTCTCTCACTCTCTCTTTCTCCAGCAGTTTTTCTATATATTTCCTTCTTTCTTCATTCTTATGCCTCTGTCGCGTTTCCTTCTCTCTCTTTTATTATTTTATTTCATCTTATTGTTTGAATTTCTTTACGTCTCAATTTTCTTCCATATTTTTTTCTTTCACCCTCTTACTTTCTTTCTTTCTATTTCTCTTTCTTCCTTATTTTCATTTGCTCATTTCACTTTCTTTTTTCTTTTCCATTTACTTTTTGCTTATCTTCTTTTTTCTCTTTCTCTCTTACACACTCCCTCTATTTACATATCTCTCTCTTTCTATATCTCTGGCTTCTTTTCTATTTTTCTTTCCCATTTCTTTTTCAGTTCTTCTTTGCGTTTGTCTTTTTTTTTGTTTGCTTTCTTTCTTTCTTTCTTTCTTTCTTTCTTTTATTTATTTATTTATTTATTTATTTCTGTTCCTTTTTCATTTTTCTTTCTTTCTTTCTTACACACTCCCTCTATTTACATATCTCTCTCTTTCTATATCTCTGTCTTTTCTATTTCCTTTCGCATCTCTTTCTCAGTTCTTTACGTTTTCTTTTTCTTGTTTGCTTTCTTTCATTCATTTATTTATTTCTGTTCCTTTTTCCTTTTTCTTTCTTTCTTTCTTTCTTTCTTTCTTTCTTTCTTTCTTTCTTTCTTTCTTTCTTCTTTTTTTTTCTCTTGCCTTCTTCCTGACGATTCTTCTCGCTTTTTCTTTATTTGCTTTTCTTTCTTTTCATTTCTCTTTCCTTATGTTCCAAAAACGTATCTTGGACTAATCGATATATTTCGGAGGATTTCTTCAATTATCTTTCATCCAAAACCAATTCCAATATTCCTCATTTTCTTATTCCAACAATCAAATTTTTATTCCTGTTTTTAAAAGAAAAAAAAAAGAACAATCTCAAGCTATTTAATCGTAAGTGGAAGATATAGCAATATGTTTTTTTTTTTTTGGTTGTATTGATTACATTTTTTTAATTTCTGAATCGATATTAAACGTGCTTGCAAATGGCCCAAATTATTGATTTTCTTCCAAAAGGCTGATCGATTATAAAATGAAGAATGGGATAATCATATATTATTGATAATAGAACCGCCCGTTGAGGAAAATATTCAGAAAACATAAAATTTCTCTTTTGGAAACGAAATTTATTAAAACAAACCAAATCGTCAGAGTAAAGATAAACCGGTTATATTTTCTAATATTTATATTAATATTTTTAATTTTCTTTTTGTGCTTATTTGTCAGGAAAATTTTGGATCGCCGCCGTTTATAACGGCATATTATCGATTTCCAGGCATTATTTCGCTCAAAGAAGAAAACGTATGGATTGTCTATTACTGCGAGTATAGAGTTTCAAATTCGAAAGTCAAAGTAAAATTGTGATAGTAAAGTAAAGAATGCATGTGACACGAGTACTAAGGATTACTGATGTTAACTTTTACGACTACTCGAGGTTTTAGTGAGAGGTCCTAACGTTTCATTTCTTTTTCTCGAAACCGAATTACGAAAGCGTGCCGAAAACGTCACAGCCTAAAGCCCTTTCTGAAAAAGCTGAGCAAATCTTGGTCGAAGTTGGCGGCCATAATCTTACCAACATAAGATATTCAGATGATACAGATAACAAAGAAAAGACTCTAAAATAAAATGAGAAATAAAGGATAAAATTTCAATTGTGATAAGAGAGAACGTATATGGTTGTCAGCAAAAGGAATATGCGTATTGGAGACACAAAAATCGAGTCAGTTCGGAAATTTAAATATATAAGTGGTGTTTTAACAGAGTACGGAAAATCTGACACCGAAATCCAAAGTCGTTTTTGGAAAGAGAAAGATGCCTTCCAAATACTAAGCAAAGTATTAAGAGACAGGAAATATTTAAAAAACAAGAGATTTTAGTTGAAAATAAAGAAGAGTATGTAACGGGTTTGTGTGTTGGGTTTGTTAATTTTTTGTTAACCCGTAGTTATTTGTAATTATAGTTGATAGAGGATTCCTTTTTTTATATACTTTAACTAAAAATAAAATGACTAAAAAGTACTACGATAACAACAATAAAACTCTAAGACAAGTGCTGACATTAATGACAAAAATGCGTATTTTTCTTTTCGTAATGTTAATTACAATATTAGTATTGTGTGTTAAAATGTTCTCAGTGTTGTCTCTTTTGTTTCTTTAAAAGTTTGTGCTTACTTGTTTTTGCTTGTTCCGAGAATTTCCTTGTTAAGGGTAGCATTTGAAACCGTTAACTGTAGATTTTTACGGAGCGATGATGATACGATGTGTTGTTCCTTTTTACTACTGCTACTCTACTCTACTGATTGACCTTGCTTATAGTGAAAGGCTCGTTTTTTTTTAACGATAAAGTTTCATATTTTCACTGGTGGAAAGGTTTTTTTTTTAGAATAATGAAATATCATCATCATTCTGCATCATAACGAGTACGTTATGCAATATACGTCCGTCTATAAGGCAGTGGATGCTGGACAATCTCCTCAAAGATGAAGAGAAAACATAAACGTAGCTCTACAGATGGATGCTGAGAATATCATGTGAGAAATGAGGAAGTTTTAAAAAAAATGGAAACAAAAAGTTCAAATACTTAGAATTAGAAAAGGACAGTTAAAATTTCTTGGGCACATAATAAGGAAAGAGGGTTTATATTATTTGACACTCACCGGACATAGTGAACTCAAAAGCAACAGAGGAAAGTAGCGCATAACCCCTGCCTAACGAGCTTGTTTAAATGGTTGGCAGGACAGGGATTAGGGCGGATAGAAAAATAATAGAACTTACTCAGAGCGGCAAACGACAGGATGACGTCTATGATCGTCCACGTCCTGAAGGGACAGGTCAGATGATTGCACATATTATTGTTAAATCCGACACGCTCTGACCGACTTAGCCATAAAGAAAGCAAATCCGAATTGTATATTTAAGCGAATATTTTCCCATCATATCCTGAAATATTTTATAACTGTTGTTGTAACCTAGAAAGGGTTACGGAATGGGGAATAACCAAAACGGAGGTTGGAAATAAGATGGTAATTATTTACATGAAAAAATATAGATGTATTTTCAAGAAGAATTTTCATTAATTGCGAATGTGGACCGGGATGCTGCTGTAAATGTTAGAAAAACGAAAATTCAACATGCGAGACAACGTTGTAGTGGTATGGCCAAGATATATATTATTTTTTCTGTTCGAGCTAAAATGTCCCACAGGACATTTAAATTTATATACAATATTGTTTTAGTTAATTGGTGGGGGGAGTCATTACGAATGATTAAATTGGATATATTGAATTTAGTATAGTATATAATTAAAAAAAATTACTAGAATCTATGATGGGTATATTAGTATTTATTACTTATTTTTAGGATATTTTCATCCTGTTTATAATTAGGATGTATTTGATTGTGATATAAAAAATAAATGTTTAGGTTTAATTGAAGAAATATTATATTCTGTTTGCTTTATATTAAAATTTCCAATAGAACGTCTTATTTGTTCATGAACAATATAATTAGGAAAGTTATTATTAATAAAAGTTTGTTTTATATTTTTAGTTAACTATAGAACATCTGTTTTGAGGATGAATTAATTTTGAACGACTTATTTGTTTTTTATAATCACTATTTTATAGTAATTTGGGCATTCAATCTTATAGTTAAGAATGCACGAATTTGTGCTCATAGTATTTTTATATGGGAAATAGTGAAAAAATTTAATTTTCAGATGGACACAACAATTTTGTTTTAGAAAAATGATGAACACAACATTTTTTTTGCTTTAGAAAAACATGACCCTGATGACGATATTGTGCTAATGTCAAAAGAACTTGGAATAGCATGAATATGCATCAACATGATTAGAGATGTTGTGGAGTTTGTACTGAAGTGTATACCCTGTCAAACGAGAAATTTGTGAAAGCTCTAACTCCGTATGCAGGAGTAGGATATGCCGCTTTTTCCTTTCGCTAAGATAACCTTAGATTTTCCCGGATCTTAACCACAGACACCATCAGGAAACCAGTACATAGTTACTTTCATTGATCTGTACTCAGACTGGTTCGAAGCATTTGCTGTACCAAATAAAACGGCTCAGACGATCAATCACTTATTAGTAGATGAAATATTCCATAGATTTGGTATCCTTCTTCAATTGGTAACAGATAACGGTATAGAGAATGTTAATAAAGTTATGAAAGAAACGATAAAAGGTTTCAATATACACCACGTGACGACATCGTTCTATCACCCACAATGCAACGGTAAGATAGAACGTTTTTGCGTTGGACGCTGCACGATATTTTATAAAAAAAAACAGTAATAATGATAGATCATAGGATTTCTATATTAACCAGATGCTCGCGTCAATTAGGTTTAATGTTAGCGAGTCGACAAAATTCTCACCGTATTATTTACTTTATAATAGGGACGTTGTTCTACCGTTAGATAATATCTTAAAGCAACATTGTTTTTATTATCGAGATGAGCACCACATCATTGTACTACAGGAACAACACTTCGCATTTACAGTAATTAGGAATAATTTGAAGAAAGCGAGAAAACGACTGATAGATCTAACGTTTCAACTAATAACGTAAATTCTAAAGAAGGAGTTTTAATCTATTATAGAAACGATCATAAGCGGGACAAATTAAACATGAAGCGGCGGCCGTATTTTGTAGTAGTCGAGAACAACGGTTCAGTATTTTATAAGATTAATGATCTGTTAACTAGTTCAGTAGTTAAGGCCCATGATGAACACCTTAGGGTGGTGAATATTCAGGAATGGATAATTCCCACTGATAACAGGCTGCTTCGAAGGGCAATCATAGCAGCCACAGTACTCTTCGACGAATCTGGGGACGACTCAGGTAACAAAGGAAACAAATACCTAGAAAATAAATGAATACAATTCGGAAGATGTGTCAAATATTCCGATGATGGAAGGTCATATCTTGATGCTTCAAAGGAGAGCAGAAGAAAATGATACGGCCCAAAGTAAAAGTAGGAATAGAAATAATTTCTCAGGGTCAAATAGTAATAGAGGATATGGACGTATGTGCGGCTAAAATGGAGCGGAATTTTGATAGGTATCAGGGTGACAACACGACAAATGAGAGTTCTGACGCGGGTTATAGTAGTTGTAATCGCGATAGTAGGTTGACGCTCAGAACGAGGGAGAAGGAGAGTAAACGATTCCCAGAGATACAGATTTATGAAAATCGCAGCGACTCCGATTCAGCCGACCTTTCACACCACCCCCGCGGTATTCAGGGAAAAGAAAGGAGGAAGAAAATGATGAACGAGTCAAAAGATCGAGTAGGAAGCATAAGAACGGGGAAACTAATGTTGGAAGGAAGATCAAGTGTAGTATAGACGAAAAGAATATGAAAAATATGAATGACATAATTAATGCGCTCTCAGAAATGTTTTAAACGAAACTACATTCTGCCATTTAAGCATAATTGAGCCAATTTGTTTTAAGAGATAAAATCAGTAGCGCTTTAAAAAAACGTTTGGCGTGCACAAAGTGGACAGTGGGTACTCCCTACCAGGCCGCGCGCACACAGACGCGCATTAAATGTGAACTCAAGACATATGAAAATAAATTCTTGTTAAAATAGAGGGACAAAAATGTCAATGAACAATTCTGCGGGTTTGCCAAAGAGCAAGGAAAAAGA